TAATTTTATCCTCATCTCTCATCACCTATCCAGACTCAGTGTACCTTACCTTAACCTTACCTTTCTGAACATAACTTACAGGTTTAGCGTATTGTGAAGTAACTTGTTTTGAAGTAACCTGACCCAACATTTCCTTGGTCTAACTTAACAATTCCTAATCAGACTTAATATATCATGACGGAGGATTATTATTCTGACTTTATGAATCCTCCAAACGTAACCTGTATTTAAATGAAAACATCCAAAGGAGAACCACCAGACTGGTGGTTCCTTACTATGGCACCTCAGGTACCCAGAGAGATTAGAACGCCCGCAAATGCTTATCCTATATAATAGACGGGCAAAGGGTGACTTAACAGAAGTCTATAAACACCTTAGAGGATATTCCTCAGTCGTGTGTTCGTATCTGAAGCTGGCGGGTGCCCACCCTACTAGGGGTCACTGCTAACGGGCCAAACTTTTTGGGAGTGCGGGATTGTGAACTCTTGGAACAATCTGCCAGAGAGTGTTGTGACGGCACTGAGTGTGAGCTCTTTCAAGACCAGACTTCACCAACACTGGAGCAGGCTCAGCTACGTTCAGGAGCCGGTGCATGCCCAGTACTTGCCAACAGTGAGTAATAGAGACCTGACTGACCGCCCAAGCGGCTAACGAGCCGATTAGTGGCGAAGAGAATAAAAATAAGGTAAAGTAGAACGTATTTGTACATAAGGTAGTCTCAGTGTAATTCTGATGACATTTTGGAGGTTACATTTGTGTTACAACTACAGTAGATGCGTTCTCCCACCTCCAGTTGCGAGGAAAATTTAGCGTACGAATCTTTCTGAATCCAGATCCAGCTCTTTGTACACTATGGTTGATAATTATAGCCAAAGTCTTGCTAACGGACACGTTTGGTTGAGTGTAGCGGACATGGATGTACAGTATTACTGACGTGTGTGGTTGTTCTCTGAAGCGGGGATGATGGTATCCCCAGGTATTTCCACAAGGGAGAAGAAAATTTTACCCGAGGAATTAATTCTTATTTAAATGTTCCTAATAAAATTGTCTGTATTAACTAACAACTTTCAGTTATAATAATATAATAACTAATACAATAATGAAAATAATATAGAACTAAAATACCGTCAAGTTGCGGTAGTCCTCGAGGAAAAACTGTAGAGCTTTTTTTTTTCTTTTGGGGGGAGGAGGGGAGGGGGGATCCCTGGACTGGACTGGAGGAGTGGCATAGACCACTGATCTTTATTATCGAAATTAAATCGCATTAAACGGGTGTGACGGATAGTAAAAAGGCCGCCTCCAGTATATTCATGGTTAACTTGGAACAGATGTGGAGTGAATAGTTACTTTAAAGTTAGTCACCAATTTGAGCTCAACTGGATCTAAAGGGACCCGAATCGGTACTTAAAAATATCTTAGGTTAACAAACGGAGGTACATTTAGATTCTATTTGGGTCCTTTTGATCTGATAGATCTTACCCTACTTAGTAAGTCCTGACCTGCCCAGACCGTCCTTCTATTCTGCCCAGACCGTCCTGACCTGCCCAGACCGTCCTGACCTGCCCAGACCGCCCTCTCCTGCCACCATCATTTTGTCGCTGATATTGAACCTGGACAACATGCCCATGATGAGAAACATGTGCTCCTGCTAGGTTGCGTGTTCACTGACTCATCCTAAAGTACGGTGACCTCGGTCCTTCCTCACTACAGCGTGTGAATAGACAGTTGTTGCCTGGCGCTTGTATCAGTTCATATTGAAATTCACATTTTAGCATTACCTTTTCTCACTTTTTAGTGCAATGGATCTTGGGCATAGAAATCTCAAAGAAAAGGATAAATAATTGGAAGATTATTGAAAAAGTGTGTAAAATGAAAAAGACAAAAGGTTAAAAATCCGCACATACTCGTTAATATTCTCAATTTATGCACATCACATGCAGAGAAATGTGACTGTGGTCACTAGTGACTCGAATCTAGTGTCTAGACTCAAGACAGAGCTAGGCAGGCGTATCCATGGCAACACGCCTCCCTAACACCATGGTGGCTCCAGCTTCAAGTTAGCTGACAGTCAATTTGCTGGTGATGAATGATGGAGGCACTTTGTTATCTTTTGACAACGGAGACAGTGAGTGTGGATGGTTGGTGGAGGGAGGAAATCATTCACTATACGGCGTGCATTTTCGATGAATTTGGTGGGAGACGCCACTTCCTCCCAATCATAATTACGGTGAACAGTAAAGATATTGTAAATTAGGATATTTTAAACAACACTCTAGTAAAACAATATTGATTTTATTGCTATCATACAACTAAGACCTGGTGACGACAGGAAGTACTGTAATGGTAGGGATTTATTGTTATCATACACAAGGTTTGCCATCGTACTGAAGAGGGTCTCTACTCCGGCATGGTTTCCTAAGGCCTCACCTTTGACAAGTTCTCTCTCGGGCTTACGTTCTGGCAAAATTTCCAAACTAACGTACAATGTCCCTACTAAAGGCTCCCGTTCTAGCAAGTATCCCTAACTGAAACACCAAATCTGACAAGGTCCCTAATTAACCAGTTAAGGAGTAGTGTCACACTTAGGTATTGTATTCTGACTAACGCCAGACGATTTTATTCAGCTCAGATATCCCTGCCACTCAATGAGTAAAAACCTATCTCGATTAAACCCCCTACTCGGGCAAGGGTTCCTAACTAACTTGCCTAAACTGACAAGGTCCCTGACTCAGGCCCTAATCCCCCCCCCCCAAAAAAAAATCCTATAGTAAGGCCCCTATCTATTAAGCTTCCTTATTTTTTTAATTATTTCCCTAGACTGCGGTAACTCGTGACCGAGGCCAACATCCAACAATGAATAATGTCACTGGAAATGCGCGAGACTTACCATAAAGGGCAGGAGCTTTAAATGTATAATATTAGACAGGCCGGTATTGCTAGATGTCTATAGAATATAAATTTTAAGACCGCTCTTTATGAAGGGTATACTGTACAGTATATTTTACACACACACACACACACACTTATATTTGTTGTTATTTCATTAATACTTTATCATAACTCATATAATTTTATCCAAGAATTAGATCGACAAAAAATAGTTCACTATAACCTGTGCACTTGAGTCCATTCATGTGTTGATATTATGTGCTACTGGTAATTGGATGGGGATTACAAATAGTTCCATGTTGTTCTCTATCCACAAAGCGACGACTGCAGTACTGCACACTCTTGTGGCTTTGTTTAGGCCAACAGTTCTTGACAGGTTTCTCTTCGCTTTTTCAAATTAACTCACACCTTGTAAACTTGAGCAAGAAAGGTAAACACGAATGGTTAAGTGGCAACACATTTCCAGTCCCTACTTGCGTCTTGCTCTTTACACCTCACACGCCGTCCTTCAGTTTAATTTTACTTTTATCCTCTTCACCACACTAATCGTCTCATCAGCCGCTTGGGCAGTCGGCCACGTCTCTTTTACGTACTGTTGGCAAATACTGGGCTTGTACTAGGTCCAGAATATATCTGTAACTGAGCCATTGTTGGTCAAGTCTGGTTTTGAAAGAGCTCTCGATGGGAGATTGTTCCAAGAGTTTACAATTACCACTCCAAAAAAGTTTGCCCTCACAATTTTCTGGACTTGTGGCTTCTTCAACCTTGAGCTGTGACCCCTTGTGAGGCGGGCGTAAAAATTCTCATTCCTTGCTCAATAGAAAATTAAACGCAACATAACAGGAAATAGGTGTTCCTTACGTTAATATTACCAGTAGCAGAGTACGTGTACCCTCCGTATGTGAATCGCAGACGTGACCTTGAACTGGGTCAGCGTAATAACTGGATCCTGACAGGATATCGGACGTAAACGCTTTTGCGCTTCACCTTGCACAGGATGCAAGGGTATGCCCAATAAACTAGCCCCTCGCGGGAGAAATTGTAAAAACAAAAAACAAAATATTTTTCATAGTACAACTGGGTATGGCTGGTAAGGCCAGTTATATAAAGTAGGGCGGATTTGATTGTATTCCAAGCCGGGATTAATGCGACCTCCGCGAACTCATTGTTCCAGTATTTCAACTGCTGTACTCTCTTATGCTACCCATGGTTTAATTGACTTATTATTATATTTTTTATCCTCTTCACGCTATTCACTACTGTTTGTATACTTGTACTGTTTATGGACTATACATGCATAACAAATATGAACTTTAAAGACCAATGTTTTGACCCCATCCACCACAGTGTCCTCAACACCATCCGGCCAGTCAGTGTTGCTTCTCGGATTCAACACTTGTTACAAACTGCTCGTGATTAGCTTCGTGTGTTTATCCCTCTCGTTGTACTTATAAAGGAAACTATAAGTAGCTAGTGGTTTCAAGAAAGAAAAGTAAGTGACTTGAGAAGTTTGAGGTTAATGGTAATGATGTTCCCCTCCGGCACCCGAAGTGAACAGATGTTACAGGTAAAGAGTAATAACATTGCTTTACTGTTTATTATGGCCAAAAATCCATTTGGATGTATTGTATGACTTTTTTCACTGCTTTACTGTACTGCGCTGGCCACAAATAATCACAAAATGCCAGATTCAGTTCAGTTGTGGTTTTTATCAATTTGCTTTACTTACGGAAGCCACCTGTAATTTCCCATTTCCGTATTATTTTAAAAGTTGTTTCAAACAGTTATGATAATGATTCCATAAACTGCAAGTGAAAGTGTAACGTTTTCAAATTAGCCCTTGGCAAAATTATCAAAAACAATGGAGGTTTCCTACACAGGCCATTTGTCTCATTCCCTCGGCATAGCCACCTCTAGTGGGTGGCCATTAGGTAAAATAAAGTAAATCAATCTTTAGCTGTCATTTGTGCCTCCCAGAGTACTGTACTGAGATATTAAGAGATGTTTCTTCAGCCCACAGAGTTCTTCGATGTTAGAGATAAAGTTGATATTGTTCCCTCAGCCCCAAATTATTTTGATGTTGGTGATTAATGTTGATTTTGTTCCCTCAGCATCCAGAGTATTCAGAGGATGAACTCAACAAGCTCTATTGTCTCTTCTGCCGCTATGCTGAACCCAACACTAAGAAGGGTGCCATTTCTCTAGACAGCTTTAAGAAGCTTCTAGAAGCACTGGAGCTAACACAGACTCATCTAGAGGCAAAGGAGACTTATGATAAGGCTGCAAAGGATGGTAAAATCACATTGGAGGAGTTCATGAAGCTGGTCAAGGATCTAACTGCCAAGACGGGCAAAATAAACCTAGATGTAAGTTTACAAGATTATATATGCTGTTCATTGTTTTGTTACTGGTTAGTTCATATATCAGTGATGCCTGTGGCAGCAAAAGTAGCTTGATAACTTTTGGGGGGTTTAAAGCTAAGGTCCTTGCATCTCTACCCTTTTATCCTGCACTTGGATTGGCAATACCTGTACACTTTAGAGAAGGGGGCAAAATTAAGGTACATTGTCTTGATATTTACATTGGGATTCTCACACTCAACCTATCAGACTGGGGCAAAGAAGACAAGGGTGAAACAGGTGACCATTGATCACAAGCCTTTACCCCACTAAGATATTGTACAGGAAAACAGTGGGCAAGACACTCCATTCATTATTGTAACAGATGTGTTTGTTGTAATAACCTGTATTGTCATTCTACAACAAATCCCTACACTAAATATTCACTTATGGTACTATATATATATATATATATATATATATATATATATATATATATATATATATATATATATATATATATATATATATATATATATATATATATATATATATATATATATATATATATATATATATATATATACATATACATACACACACACACAGTAAACCCCCGCTTTACGCGGTTTCACTTTACGCATTTCCACGTTTACGCGGTACCCTGCCAAAACCGGAATGCTCACTTTCCGCGGTGTGTGTACCCTTTTACGCGGAGAGCGGCGCGAGCAGGGTGTGCACAAGGTCGCCCAGTCATCAAAACATTACCGAGTTCTTCACCCGCCACCCACCACAGCCGACCCAAGTCAGTGATAGTGATAATGATAGTGAGGATATGGACTTATATGGATTTTGAGGGGTTTGGCAAAGAGGCCCTGCAAGCCTCTGTGGTGGATAGTGATACAATTGATACAAGTGATACAGGTGAGGGCCAATAATCTGCCCTCTGCCTCGGAACCAACCCCCCATCCCCGTGTGCCCAGCCATCTTTTCTACTAATGTAAGTGTTAAAAAACCGAATATTATTGATATTTCTCTTAATTATTAATTGTGTGTGCATACCATCATAAAATTAAGAAGTTATTTTTACTACAACGTAGGTATTGTGTCTGAAAAAGTGGAGTTTGGGGGTCGACCCAGTCTCTATTTCAATTTATCCCATATGTTATGTTGTTCACTTTACGCATTTCTCACTTTACGCGGGCCGCCGTGGGTTCAATTGACCGCGTAAAGTGAGGGTTCACTGTATACATATATATATATATATATATACAGTGGGGTATGCTATAACGAATCTAATTGGTTCTAGAACCTTGTTCGTTATAGCATTCGTTCGTTATAGGATTAATTCGTTCCAGGCCCCCAAATACAACCACTTAACACTGAAAAATATAATATAAAATTGTAAAAATTGTAAAAAAGTGCATAAATAAGCATCTAAACCCCTGAAATAAAGAACATCATTAATACTTGTAATAAAAAAACAATAAATTAGTAAAAAAAAAAGAAAAAAAAAGAATTTTAGTTTCTAAATAATGTTCGTTGTAGGAGTTTCGTTCGTTATAGCAATCTCAATTTTATAGGTAAAACCGTTCGTTATAGGAATATTCGTAGTAGGATCCGTTCGTTATAGCATACCCCACTGTATATATATATATATATATATATATATATATATATATATATATATATATATATATATATATATATATATATATATATATATATATATATATATATATATATATATATATATATATATATATATATATATATATATATATATATATATATATATATATATATATATATATATATATATATATATATATATACAATAATATCTCCATTAACCGGAATCCTCTCAAACCTGGAACTCTCAGATAGCCTGATTGAAATTTTCACGGAAAATAGTTCCCAAAGTGATTTTCCGAGAAGCATATTTTCCGGAAAATTCTGAGAAAATTTTTCCGTTACCCGGAAAATTCCGGGGATGAGGGATTTTTTTCCGGCTTTGAGGGAGTCGTCTCGTTACCCGGAAATCTCTCATTCCCGGAAGTGCTCGGCACCAATTGTTCCGGCTAATGGGGATATCACTTACATATATATGTACAGTATTCTGTACAGTATTTGAATTTATTATTTATTAATACTTTGTTAAAAGTCATCCTCACTGAAAGAATACAGTGCAGTACAGTATTAACATTCATACTTACCATACTTAATCTTCTTCACCACTGATTGGCTTGTTAGCTGCTAAGGCAGTTGGTCATTTCTCTGTAATGCACTGTTTACTCATTATTTCATCAAATAGAAAAACTCAAACTCACTTTGAAAAATTACCGGTATTCCCCTGTTGCAGTCGTCTAGGTTTCTAGTTAAGTTCACTTAACCATTTTACACGTTCATTCTTTTTATTAAAATTATAGATTATTATCCCCTGGACTTTCCCTTGTTTTTGCACTTAAGAGTACTCCAACAACTTTCTGTGCTAGTATGATTATATTTGTCAACAGGGTCATAAAAATAATAATATTCAGTAAATTTGTCATACAGGTTTACAATTGGATAAGCATGTTTATAAACTATGCAGTTATGTAGTACAGCATGAATATAGGCAATATAGGTGCATGCCCAGTACTTGCTAATAGTGCGTAACAGAGACGTGACTGTGAAGGGTAACATTTTTGGAGTGTGAGTTGTGAAATCTAGGAACATTCTGCCAGAAAATGTTGTGACAGCACCGAGTGTGAGCTCTTTCAAGACCAGACTTGACCAAAACTGGAGCAGGTTCAGATACATTCAGGAGCCTGTTGCATGCCCAGTACTTGCCAACGGTGCGTAACAGAGACGTGACCGATCACCCAAGCGGCTAACGAGCCGGTCATTGGTGAAAAGGATAAAAGTAAAGAAGTAAAAGTAATACGATGCCTGTAGGCCATGGGAGTATACAGTTTTGTCTGTGCTGAGACAGTGCAGGTAAACAGTAAGGCAACTTGACCAAGGATAGTCAACAAAGCTATCAAGAGCTTATTTCCAGATGGGTCCTTTGCTTAGGCTTATGCTTGGTCTCAAATCAGTAATTCAACAAGCATTACATTGCTTGTGAATTATCTGAGGCTGGTGGATCAGTACTGCAGTCTACATTCTGTGGTTTAATAACGTAGAAACTCACTCTTCTCTTGCTGTAGCTTCATCTATTATGTATATCTTTGTTTTAGCTTTGAATTGCTTAATACCATAACTAGTTTTGATGTGGTCTGGTAACTTGTTCCAGTCTGTTATAGCAGTAAAGAAGAAAGAGATCATCGCTTGACTGCGGAACACTAGGTACCATAAAATTATGTTCACTCCCTCTAGTGTCCTGCAGCTTCATATCCTTATTCATTGCATGGTATGGTATATTTAGTGAAGGGCTGTCCCAAGATAACATACACTACAAACCTCTCATTTGATCTATAACATCTCAAGTAATCCCTAAATTCTGTAGCTACATGATAAATAAAGAAATTCCGATAAATGTTTACAGTTTGAAGGAATATCTTGAATTTTTGTGTTACCTGTATGTCTGATGTTTTGCCATCATCCAATTTGTACAGCATTTACACCCTTGCTTCTCACCACTTTGATCCAGGTCTGATTCACACTTAGGGTAAATGTGAGAAGGGTATTGTCCATATTAATTTCATTGAACATTGCAGGCTTTCTAGTGGTACTCTGGTTAACACTCGACTCATTAGAGATTGTCCTTATTGGGTCTCTAGGGAGACCATTATACTGTAATGGTTATCATAATACTCGATAGCTCTATCAGTTATGACTTCAGTACAATACAATACTGGTCTTTATAGAGGTCCAGTTAGGACTATCCCCCATGGGCCCAGTGATAGTACTGGTGGAAATCAGATTACCCGGAGAAAACATGGGATATTCAGTGGGGTCACATTGGTCAACACTTTTCTTACATCCAACCCAAGTGTGAATTAAATGATAGGCAAGCATGCCACCACTGTACCATCATTAGTTAATCATAATTAATATAGCTATTCAATATGAATGCGCATACTGTAATAATACAGGGTATCTAGAAAAATATAAGTGGTGTGAAAATTGAAATCATTAACACTGTATACATGTACAGGTAGTAATAGTTTTGCAGTGGTGAACAATTTTGTAAAACTTATGTTAAATACAATGTGTGAATAAGCTTGGCCCACATGTGAAAATATTGATGATTTGCCTACAGCTGGTGGTGAAGTTGGCAGCACAAGAGGAGGTTGATGTTGATGATGTAGGTGTTGGTGGCGCTAAGAGGTTCTTTGAGGCTAAGGCACGGATCCTGGAGGTTGGCGATGCTGCCTACCGTGCTTTTGAAGACAAAAAGAAGGAAGAGGAAGAAAAGAAGAAGAGGCAAGAGGAATTCAAGAAAAAGAGGGAACAGTTCCAGCAAACAGCATAGACAAGGAGATTAGCTGAAGGATCACTTATAATCAGTAATGTGCCAGCTACAGATGATGTACCCAGTAAACTAAAAGAAAAGGTATTAGGTTAGTTTAACCAGTAATGAAGGTATTATCAAACATTGTTATATATGGAATGGTCTGTATATGCAGACACTAAGCAAATTTAAGGGGAGAGAGATTCTTGCTGTGAGTTAGAATCTACAAATCCGTAACATAAATACAGTACAGTATATTCTAGTATTCTAAATGGTCTTAATTTATTTAAAACTGGGTCACATGAGGTTTTATTATAAAATGTATTTGTTAATAGCACTATGCCTTAAATACTGCTTTAATACTTAGTACAATGATGGTAACAGTTTAGATGAAAGTGATATATCGATGTTAACTCTTTAAATATTCAGGACAACTTTTACCCTAGATGTGCCTGGTGGTGCTAAAAAGTATTGGCAATTAGTAATACATGATACGAAATTAATGATCAAGTTTGTGTTCACTTATTGTTAGAACATAAAAAGTCTTGATTTTTTTTATATATTGCAAGTATTTGTTTCAACTTTTAGATGCAAATGAGAGATTTTCAGTAAAAAAGAACATGAAGACAAACATGATAGCCAGGACAAATATAGTTAATGACTTTTTAGATATATAAACATGTCTTTCGCATTGCTGTGCTCTTAGTAAATTTTTAACAGTTATTAACAGTTTGTCCTAACTGCTAGATGCTACAGCATGCCCTAACAACTAGTCATTCATTAGTGTCAGGACACTTGCTCTTCATCCATTTTTGCTGCATTGTTCTGCAGTAAGTCAGTATCTAGTTTTGTAGCAGTTAGCCAACCACCACTTATCACTACATTGCACAGTTGCTATCTTAAATGGCTAATAACTATTCAGTTACTGTTGCCTGTACAACTGTTGCTCTCATATAATTTAGCGTAATGGTGTTGAGAAATGTTCATATTATTGGTATGGAAAATTTGAAGACATATTTCTTCTCATATGTGTGATGCTGTACTTGATGGACCAGAGGTTAGCCTTTCTTAAGTGTGTAAGATATCATTGTATGATAGCAGGTAAGATATACATTAAAAGGTAGTCCATAAGATATACAGTATATGATATCTAGATTTCTAAAAAAAAAAATAATCACCGAGTGGAGTCTTAGAGTAATAGGATTTTATTGAAGTAAATTAGCACTTGCCTGTATCTGCGTGATTTGTGATAAATGATTCCACTTCACTTAAAATCATATTTCATTTAATTAACCCTTCGGGATAAATAATTGCTTTTATGTGATAAGACTGAAGTTATCACCTGGCATTAAAAAAGTGAGGTATGGCTTATAACATAAAAGATTACCTTCATGTTTCTTCATATTTTTATTGTTGTAGTAATGTTAAAAAGGAGTTTTATATTACAGTAGTACCTGTAGCATGTATTACTTTTTTGTTGCAAAGATTGATGAATGTTTACCTAACAAGAATACGAGGTCTGACAATTAAGTTGCGAACTCATCGCGTGGCTCAACAGGCGGCAGCACTGTAATGAATGTGAATAACGTGCATTGGCAGCTATTGTATTAGAGTGTTTCCGGGTTTTGTCGCGATTATAACATATTATTTTGGAAACTGGGGAAAACTGGGCCTGAAATTTGGGACATGTTAACCCAAGTTTATGGGCATAATGCACACAAGAAAACATCAGTTTACAAGTGGATTAAGTAGTTTTCTGAGGGAAGAGAAGACTTGACAGACGAAGACAATGACAGAGAAGCATTGCAGATGAGGTGCAGGTTGACAGGGAAACAGAAAGGTTTTGACTGAAGATTTGAAGATGAAAAAAGTTTTTGCAAAAATGGTGCCAAAAAATCTCGGCGAAGAACTAAAACAAGGAAGAGTTGAAATTTGCTCAGACCTTTTGGAAAGAGAAGAAGCTGGAGATGACCTGCTTCACCGATTCGTTACTGGTGCTGAGTCTACCAATACGACCCTGAAATGAAATGCCAGAGCGCTCGGTGGTAAACTGCAAACTCGATGTGCCCCAAAAAGTGTCACATGTCAAAGTCAAATGTGAAGACGATGCTCATCACTTTTTTTTTCAATTCTAAGGGTGTAATTCACAAAGAATTTGTTCCCCCAGGTCAGGGTGTGAAACAATGTGCTTAAAAGACTCGGAGAAAGTGTTAGACGAAAATGCCCGGAACTTTTCGCTGGAAACAAGTGGATCTTGCATCATGACAATACCCCAGCACACACTGCATTGATTGGGCGGGAGTTTTTGGCCAAAAAACAAATTACCTTACTTGAACGCCCTCCTTCTTCACCTGACCTGGCCCCATGTGACTTTTTCTATATCCTTCACTGAAGAGACATCAAGGGGACGCATTTCCAAGACATGAATGACATTCAGAGTAGCACGACGGCAGCTATAAAAGCTATTCCAGAAAGTGAGTTCCAGAAATGTTTCCAGAGGTGGAAGAAGCGCTGGTGTTCGTGTGTAAGCATCGCAAGAGGAATACTTTGAAGGAGACCACAGCGCCAATCTTCAGTAAGATATGTTCCAGCGCCTGTAGCATGAGTTCACGAACTTTATTGTCAGACTATGTATTAAATTGGAATGAAACAGTCAGTGTTAATAGGATTAAAATTAATATATTAAAAGACTTTAAGTGCAGGAATATGATAAACAAGTAAGATGAAAACAAACTCTGACAGAAATGTGGTGTTCCAGTCATTTTGTTGCACAGTCAGTAGTACTAAACACACAGTAACCATGTAATTATTACACGAGATTGTACTGCAAACACTCGGGCAAATTCTACATTATTACGCACTCGACACACTTACAGATCACACCAAAGGAATCACACATGTAAATATACACTCAGTGCTCTTAGATGTCTGTGGAATAAAATGTATTATGAACCCATTACTACTATAGTCTACAAATTTTAATAAGCATCATTAGCATCATTTGAAAGTTATAAGTGAACAGACTATAGAGACTACACTACAGTGGCAGAAGAACTGTACTACCACCAACACCTTACTCAGTAGCACTCACGGGAAGATGTGTGATTCATTGTATCAGCACTCGGGTACTGATTGACATTTACAGAACTGAGTCTGCTTGGAAGTACAGTATATAACCAGAGAACAAGGTGAACCATAGGGGTCACATGTCAATGCTTAACCTCTTCACTCTGGGGATACCACATTTAATATTTTATTTACCTAATGCCAAATGATTTTATTCAGTTCTAAGGTGACACCGTGCACAAGGGGTTAAGGCTCAAGTTGATAAATATTAAGGTTTATTACAAAATCAACATAGAATAAATAGATTAATATCAGTGTGACTGATTCTTTTTAAGAGAATAAGACTCATTCAACCAGTTTCATATCCTGTATTAACTTCACAGGAGTATGTAAATGAGAACTTCAGATACATACCTAACCATTCAGAGATTACCATTAGCTAAGTCATGTAGACAAACACTTGTATAAGTACTGTACTGTACACACACACACACACACACACACAAGTACCAAACACACACATGAAACATCCACACGCACACACACTACTATGAAGGTAATGGGTCATTTCCTGAGAGCCGGTTTGTCCACTTCCTGACTTGGTATCCTGCTCTTCCACTAACATTTGGGTTACCCAAGTCTCCTCTCTCCTCGCCTCAGTGACCTCAGTAACCCCTCAGTACTTAACTAGGCATTCCAGATAGAACTCTTTCATAATATATTGGACTATGATGTTGACCCCCACACTACAGTAGGTCATTTTGTTAACACCCCCACAGTACAGTACATCTCAAGTAATCCCTATATACATGATAAATAAATAAACTCTTATAAATGTTTACAGCTTGAAGAAAGATCTTGAATTTTTGTGTTATTTCAAATGTTTTGCCATCATCCATTATGTCAGTTAAGTGGTACAGCATACTGTATGTATACATACATACAGTATGTCTGTTGACCCCCTACACTGCAGTAATAAATCTCTTGACCCTATATAGGTCCAATGGGTGGGAGGGAATCACAGGAAAGAGCTAAGTTTCTTTTTTCTTTAAAGTTTTGAGCTACACAGAACCCAAAATGTTAGAAAAATAAAGAAACTTAACTCTTTCCCATGGTTCTCTCCCACCAATCAAATCCACTTCTCATCATGGATACCATCATAGTACATAAGTGTTGATAATTTGACTCCTACACTTTCATGATCACACAGCAGTGGAGAGGATAGAGCACAAGACTCTCATTGATCTTGAGGCTGAAGGGAGAAATTAGGTAATAAAAATAACAGTCTGGTGGGTGATATGTAAGGGCAAAGTTGTGAAGGCAAGTGCAACCATGACTTCAACCATGGATATTACCAGCTCATCTCTTTACTGTACTTTATCCTCTTTGCCACTGATCAGCTCATTAGCCATTTGGGTGGTCAGTTATGTCTTTGTTATGCACTTTTGGCAAGTATACAACGGGACATGTTCTGGTCCCAGGATGTATCTGTACCTGCACTACTGTTGGTCAAGTCTGATTTTTAATGAGCTCAGTGCTGTCACAATGCTCTGGCAGTTTATTCCTGGAGTTCACAACCCTCACGCTAACAAATTTTGCCCTGGCGTTTTTTTTTTTATCTTGTGGCTTCTTCAACCTTATGTTGTGACCTATAGTGGGGTGGGCATCCGCCAGCTCTAGATATGGACACTCGATGAATAATATCCTCTGTGGTGTTTATAGACTTCTATTAAGTCTCCTTTGCCTGTCTATAGAATAAGCTAGGCAGTTGCAGGTGTTCTAATCTCTCTGGGTAACTAAGTTGCTGTACTGCAGACACCAGTCTGGTGGCCTCCTTTCGACATTTTCAATCAACTGACAGTCCCTAGCATACCTCGGAGACCAGACGGGGAAGTGTTACATGACCTCTTATCAGCTTCAAGCGTAATCAAAAGAAAGAATGCAGATACATTGCAAAATACAAGAGGATGCATCTTGGTAAAATTATACTAATAGTAAGGAAGTGTGATACATACTCTACTCCAATGTGACAGACATTTCCCTAACTGGAACTAGATGCGAGAAAGATCTGTGTACATTAATTATACTGACGAAGAAATGAAGTCTTAAGATCAATGTGAGAAAGTGAATCATTCCAATAAACTAGATAAACTAGTAGGGTTTTAAAAAATGTTGTCGAACCTCACTTGGGGTATTTTGCAATTCTGCATGGTCTATAATAAGTCAGACTACCATTTGATTCTTAATGTCCAGAGGAGAGCCAGTATACTGGTTTCAGCATTCAGACATTCCCCTCACCATGAGACTATAACATTTACAATTGCCTAAATTATACTACAGAAGAAAAGGGTTGATTTTAAAGAGATTTGTAAGCCCCATACATATAAGACACCATTCAGTTAAATGTACATATCTAGAGTTAGCAGATAGTTATCCCACTAAAGGTCAGCTTCAAGAAACTATCAGTACAGAAAACTGTTAGACCTAACTTGATCCCCACAAAGTGCATAGGTCAACAGATTTATGTACTATATTACAGGGGTCCCAGGGAACGTCGCCGCCCCGTGGAGGGTCTCTGGGGCGCCGCCGCCCCTAGGAGGGTCCCTGGGGGTGTCGCCGCTCATGGGAGGGTCTCTAGGGGCGTCGCCCCCAGGGACTTCCTGTGTGTCCCCCTGACTTCCTGGGGGACATACATGCCCTACAGTCCTGACTTCCTGGGGGGGGGGGGACACTTGCCCTACAGCCTGGACCCCCTGGGGGACACACACATGCCCTACAGCCCTGACCTCCTGAGGAACACACACATGCCCTACAGCCCTGACCTCCTGGGGGACACACATGCCCTACAGCCCTGACCTCCTGGGGACACATGCCCTACAGCCCTGACCTCTGGGGGACACACACATGCCCTACAACCCTGACCTCCTGGGGAACACACACACATCCCCTACAGCCCTGACCTCATGGGGGACACACACATGCCCTACAACCCTGACCTCCTGGGGAACACACACACATCCCCTACAGCCCTGACCTCATGGGGGACACACACATGCCCTACAACCCTGACCTCCTGGGGAACACACACACATCCCCTACAGCCCTGACCTCATGGGGGACACACACATGCCCTACAACCCTGACCTCCTGGGGAACACACACACATCCCCTACAGCCCTGACCTCATGGGGGACACACACATGCCCTACAACCCTGACCTCCTGGGGAACACACACACATGCCCTACAGCCCTGACCTCCTGGGGGACACACACATGCCTACAGCCTGACCTCCTGGGGGACACACACATGCTCTACAACCCCCTCCTGGGGACACACATGCTCTACTGACCTCCTGGGGGACACACACATGCCCTACAGCCCTGACCTCCTGGGGACACACATGCCCTACAGCCCTGACCTCCTGGGGACACACATGCCCTACAGCCCTGACCCCTGGGGAACACACACATGCCCTACAGCCCTGACCTCCTGGGGGACACACATGCTCTACAGCCCTGACCTCCTGGGGGACACACATGCCCTACAGCCCTGACCTCCTGGGGGACACACACATTCCCCACAGCCCTGACCTCCTGGGGGACACACATGCCCTACAGCCCTGACTTCCTGGGGGACACACACTTGCTTTTCAGCCCTGACCTCCTGGGGGACACAAACACGCCCTACTGTGTTGCCTATACAACTATGAAATATGGCATCAAGTGGGTAGGGTGGAGGTGGTGGGGCATATTATAATGCTTCTAATAGTGGCATTGTATGGCATCATTGATCTTTGGTCAATAAAATACTTATGAATCGAAGAATGGAATGCAAAACAAGCTATACTCGGCCAATGAGAAAAAGAATATATGATGTAATGCATGAACATGTAGAGTGTGGCCACTATACCCAGTGTACAGGCTCATCGTCCTCGTGCATCACAGTAAACTGACCCATTTACCATAGAGGGTCATCCCCCCCCCAAACACAAAAAATCGACAGTTCTACGCGATTCACGTGGGTCACCTAAAACGATGGAAAAACGTGGTAAACCGGAAAAAAAATCTGGAGAAATCACTTCCCTGTGATATATGCAGTAAAGGAGAGTGAGGTCAAGTCCGATGAAATTCACTGTGTAATTAGAAAGTGACTGTATACTGTATTACCATTCTTAGATTGTCTGATCCACAGAGTAGGTCACACCTTTAAGTTCAGTATATATAGGAAACCTACTAATGTGTGTTCTTATATTCATTGTTATTCTGCCTACCATTATAGAGTCAAGCAGTCAGTATTCTCATCAATTTTTTGCGTGCTCTACCAATATGCAGTCCGGAATTCATTGATGAGGAATATAAATACTGTATATCTATAATATTGGTTTGAACTTAAAATAACCTAAGAAATCTTTTTTATAGAACTGATCCTAAACCTCCCCATAACAATAAGAATCTCTTAGTATTATTTAACAAATAAATCTCTCAAATTCCTATGCAACTGAAAACCTGGAACGTAAATGTAACATTTAGTAATTCATGCATTGTAAAGCAAATGTTAATTAAGAACTTCCCCAGCAATGCAGGTGGCTCCATTTATAAGGTTCCTTGCAAGGAATGTAATAAGTTCTACTAGACTTAAACAACATAAATTTGGTGTTAGGACAGGCTAGGAATCCAATGACTTGTTCATTCATATGAGAGATAATAAGCAGTGCATTGACTTGGATAATGCCTCCTCAATACTACCTTGTAATTCAATTGTAAGTAGGAACATTATAGACTCTAGTCTCATTTAACATACTGAATCTGTCGCCATGGATTTGAGTAATGGCAATTATAAATTGGACAATTTTATGATTAACAAGATTTGTAGCCAGATGAAAGGGTTGGTCATTACCTTATGAACTGAATATGGTAGAAACCTGCTGTCCTTAGGGACTTGATCTCACTCTCCTTTACTGTAGTCTCTGGAAGGTTATATCAGCCTGGGGTAATCTCTGGCAAGTTGTATCAGCCTGGGGTAATCTCTGGCAAGTTATATCAGCCTCGGGTAGTCTCTGGAAGGTTATATCAGCCTGGGGTAGTCTCTGGCAAGTTGTATCACCCTGGGGTAATCTCTGGCAAGTTATATCAGCCTGGGGTAATCTCTGGCAAGTTATATCAGCCTGGGGTAGTCTCTGGCAGGTTATATCATCCTGGGGTAGTCTCTGGCAGGTTATATCAGCCTGGGATAGTCTCTGGCAGGTTATATCATCCTGGGGTAGTCTCTGGCAGGTTATATCAGCCTGGGGTAGTCTCTGGGACTTTCTGGCACTCCTTAGCACATTCTGGCACTCCTTGGGACACTGGCACTCCCTGGGACACTCTGGCACTCCCTGGGAGTACACTCTGGCACTCCTTGGGACACTGGCACTCCCTGGGACACTCTGGCACTCCTTGGGACACTCTGGCACTCCCTGGGACACTCTGGCACTCCTTAGTACACTCTGGCACTCCCTGGAACTATATGGCACTCCCTGTGACTGGCCAAAATGCTAATCTAATTTCTTTAATTTTATCCTACATAATAATTATTCTATATTATTATTATTATTATTATTATTATCGTTATTATTATTATTATTATTATTATTATTATTATTATTATCGTTATTATTATTATTATTATTATTATTATTATTATTATTATTATCGTAATCAACAATTCTCAGTCACTTTTCTTCTATGTCGTTTCCCGCGGAAATGAATTATATTATTATTGTTATTGTTTATGTTATTATTACTCATCTCATTGTTACTACGATAACGCCTTTAATCTCATTCATAGTCATTTAATTCCCTCCTTTAATCTCATTCATAGTCATTTAATTCCCGCCTTTAATCTCATTCATAGTCATTTAATTCCCGCTTTTAATCCCATTCAAAGTCATTTTATTAAGTCTGGCATTTAATATCATTCTCTTAACTGTTTATTTACATTCGTTTTCTTTGATGCTACAATAAGAGAAAACCTGAAACGTATAGGGGTAACGTTTTTACTTTTTATTATCATTGTTATATAGAAGGAATTATTTTTGTTTATCCTCTTCGCCACTGACCGGCCTGTTAGCCGCTTGGAAGGCCTGTCACCTCTCTGTTAAGCACTGTATATGTACTGGATCTCTATTACGTGCTGTTGCCATATACTGACTCTGTTACGTACTGTTGGCAACTTGGCATGTACTGGTTATCTGTTACGTACTGTTGGCACTGTGGGCATGTGCTGACTCTCTGTTACGCACTGTTGGTAACTGAGCAAACAGTTTAAGGCAATTAAGGATATAACCTTTGATGCCCAGCCTTAGGTGTGAAACAGTGCCGAAGAAAAGGTGAGGTACTTCCCCGCCTGGAATGCACTGCTGTCACCCCGTCTGGTCCTCGAGATATGCTAGGGACTGTCAGCTGATTGAAAATGTCCAAAGGAGGGCCACTAGACTGGTGCCTGCACTTCGGCACCTCAGCTACCCTGAGAGATTAGAGCACCTGCATCTATGTATCTATATATTACTAATCAGCGGTAACCACCCAGTAAGGTAAGGTAATTACCATTATTGTAGTCGGGGAAGTACTTCGTCTATATTTTTGCACGTAAGGTTTCTTGAGATAAAGAATTAATTTATTTGAAAAGTATTATATTTTTCTTAGATAAAAGCAAATGGGTTAGTAATATTAAATTATTTTTTTATATAATTGAGTAAATCAGTAATGTTGGCCGCCCTGATACGTCAACACATGGCCTTTCCGATGCTGACGAACTTTGCGCACTGTACAATATTCTTATTTCTATTTATTTTTCCGAAAGTTTTCCTTATTGTAACTATTTAACACGTTGATTTAGACTAATTTACCCTAAAATTTGTATGTACGATGAAGTTTGCCTCTATCTTTTAAGATTCCTTCATTCGGGTTAGCTTTGGCAGGAGGACGGACTATATAATGAGGTGATTCACCACCGGCGCGCAGTAGTCATTGAGACACAGAGGGAGGAGGTGTTGCCGGTCGTCTTTCTCACCTGACCGGTGATGTTTTTTAAATCCATAGTAAGTTTTATTTGCAGTTTATTTAAAGTGGTTAAATCTATACGTGTGCTTAGGTCAATATATTAAGGTTGTTTATTTGTCGATTTTGGACCAAGTGGTTTCAAAGGGAAATAATTTAAATGGACCTTTAAAAAAATACAGAAGATACACAAGGCAGTTGATTTATTACGAACAAGCATAGGTTAATGGCTGTTCACGCTCGTAATCACGTAGACTAGTTACTCCGAGAATACTAATTTGGCTTATCCTTTTATTGAAATGAATGAAATATGGTTTAGTTTTGGTCACCGTACGTAAGACTTTGTGAATACTTTAATAACGTTCATCATTCTTTAGTAACGTTCCGCATACTTTAATAACGTTCATCATAGTGTATGTTTTGGTCTTACATGTTACAGGATTGATTTAACTTAAGTATTAAAAGTATGTTACAAGTATTTTTTACAAGATTTTTCTTTTACATGACGGATCCAGTTGGCTGTTACTGTTGTGTTAAAGGCCAGTTTGCTGCCTCAGTGGTCGTCAGTACAGCAGCTCATTTATTGGGGTAAGAAAGTTCTATAGTGAAATGTAGAGTTTGCCATCTTTACAACTGGTCTAGGGTCGGTCGATCGCATCCGGACACAAGTACTGGTTGTTACTGTTGGCTTGTCATGGCTGTTACACTGTTGGCAAGTACATTACTGTAGCCACGAAAGAGCTCACACTCGGTGCCCGGAGTTTTCTGGACTTGTGGCATAAATATAAACTTGTATTAAGTCACACCTTGCTTGCCTATAAGCTGGACAATGGCATAAACCAATTGGCTTTCCTTTACACAATATGCCGATCACTCGCTGGCCAATATAGTACTGTAATTATTCATAAGGTTATTGTTTCAATACAAGACTTGCAAATGCCATTTTCCAATCATCGGGGGACGTTTTGCTTGTGTGTCTATCCAACAAGACTTAATGAGGAGGAACTCTAAAACGGGTTTTTCCCCATGGAAATAAAGGTCAAATTCAATTAAATCTCGCCAAAATATACAAAGGATAAACTAATTTCTAAACTACTAGGGCATATTGGCCGAAACAGTAATTTTACCCTTGTCTTAATTTGTCCAGTACATTGTTCCCAGTACAGTTATTACAGGTAACTACACTTGTATTCCATATAAAATTTATACCTAGTGAAGGTGGATTACCTCCGTCATAATGGTGGAAGTTAAAGTTTTTTAATTGATATTTATTAAACTTTACAAGGAACTTTATGTACATGTAGCTGTAAAAAATTGCAATTTAATGTTCTGGGTTGATGGCCTGTTGATGTTTGTAAACATTCGTTGGATTGGTCCGACTCATAATTGCAAATGTTAGTTTCTTTAAATTGTAACTTAGTTTTGTTTGCGTTACTCTTGTATTTTAAAGTTGTGGCCTTCTTTCAAGAAATTGGAAAAAATGTTGAATGCTACTATGCTTTACTCTTACCAACAGCTCTAAATATAATAAACATATTTCACTAACACATAGCTTGCATAATGTTCATCAATAATCTAGTACTGTACAGTTATATAAAACAATGTAGGGGACAGTTAACCAGTATAATCAGGGGGATGACTACATAATACTGTACACTGCATCCAAGCTTAATTGTCGAAAAATCAGTGGTATTGCACAAGAGCTACGGTAACAATAAGGTTGCGTAACTTGAGTTTTTCTCCACTTTTCATATTTGGTGCTTAAGTTCTGCTGTGTAATGCTTCATTTATGCAGTAAACTAGTTCACAGGTGTCCCTCAATATACAAAAATTTTGTTCCTGGAAATGCATTCATTAAGTGAAAGTAATTTATATACAGTATTACTTTATTATTACAGTATTTTGGGGGTTAAGTTCCTGAGGGAAAATCTTTACATTCATGTTCAGATAAAAGTGGCATCAAAATGGGATTTATTGTTTACTTTTGTATAGTGTAGACATTTGAAACTATTGTTTATCAGGCATATGTACTGAATATTGGGGGATACCTGCATTGATGTAGCATGTACTGTACTGTATATAGGCAGTGTACTGTAGGTATACTGTTTATTTTTTTATTTGTACAGAAGTTGTAATAATTATTCATTCCAGGATGATGACTTGAAGATGGAGGATGCAAGAAATGATAGTTTTCTTCTGGTGAACTCTCCCTGCACTGCACCAAAAAACGTCAGGTTGGGTACAGTACATGGCTTCTCTCATTGTGGTTTCTTCACTAAACTCTCGATAAAGTACAGTAATTGTAACCCATGGACTGCCTTGTCGTTTGTCTCTTGTTCCAAGTGTAATTTCAATGAAGTATTCTACAATACTAGGAATTCACTAATTCATATCGGCTACACATCAATATTTTGTGGGATAATCATTATTGGGAAACAAATTATTAGCTGATGCAATTTTGATGTCTGTTTTGGGTTAAGAAATTGCTAGGTAACATTTTTAATACCGGCAAGATACAGTAATTACGGAAACCAGTTAGTCTGTTCACTTCTGGAAATGTCACTCTGCCACTGATCATTGTCTTAAGGTTCTGATTGGATAACATGGCAATAACCTCTGTGCAGGTCTGTCTACAGCACTTAATTATACGGTGATGAATATATTATCATGCCAGACAAAGTAGCTTTTATTTCACCTGAAGAGAAAAATAATCTGGTAGAGACTGTCGCCGACGAGAAATATTTTTAAATACTGTAGCATCGTAAAAGTACATTAGATATTTTATTTGCCGATATTATCCCAAATTAGAAATAAGAACGGCTTGGTACAGTATCATAACTCATAATGAACAAGATGGGTTGTTGAGGTTGGAGATGAGTTCTTAACAAAATTAGTCAAAATGATAAATAACTCCCTTTGAAAATTATATTTTATTAGAGAATGAGTAAATAATGAGTAAATGTTCCAAAATAGGTCTTGAACATTAGAAAAAAGTCAGTGTTGCTTAGCAATATGCGGGTTTTCCATTAGTCTCTAACAACAAGTAAACCTTAAGCTGATGCAGACAACTCAAACCAATAAACAATGGCTGTCATGAGGAGATTTTAATATCAATAATAAAGGAATATCAATTTAGTAACACTTGCTAGTTAATTTTTTCTGAGCTTGGTGAGGTTTATCACGGTTGACTCGCTCCTACTGACCTGAAGCTCCCCTGCCTCGACCCTTACTGCTTTCATTTTCACTCCCATAGTAATTTCTTTCCTGGGCACTTTGGCTGGTTTTCCAACACCAGACCAGATGGTGGCTGGGTTATTTAACATGAACAGACTATTAACAGTAAGTACTGTATATTGGAACAAGCTTCAAGAAATCTGTAAGTCTATTACTAAAGCTGAGGTACTTGTGAATAAGTTCTCTACCATCAGAGTAAATTGCTTTATTTAAATACAGTACAACTGTACTGTATTCTATTCAACTGATATTTTGCTTTGTTTATTGTCTGGCTTTGCTGGTGAGGCTATATATAATAGTGACATAACCGTTTTACCTGCATGATAAAATTGACCTAAATTATAAAAAATCTGTTCATTTTAAATCTGGCGGCAGATTATTGGGAAGCTTTGAATCTGGTTGTGAATTATCATTAAGGGTGCATTACTAATTTATTGATAGTTCAATTACTGTACTAGATTAAGTGGATTAATGTGGTACTTCCATAGAGGATAAAACCTTCAGTTTAGGGTCATGTTATACAATACTGTATATTAGGATAAATTAGTTTTGTGAAAATATCTTGCTTGAAACCTTTTATAGGTAATAACTTGGGACTTTACTTCCAGTAGGTTCTGGACCTTATTAAGGAGAGGTGTGCACTCTGCTGTACCACTCATCTTGTACTGCTGTACCAGGATGGCAAGTGATTCACAACACAACTAAAGGAAGCAAGTGCCAAGATACAGCCCAGACCCAGCCTTCCACCCCTCCTCTCTACCTCAGGTAAAGAATATTATAACAAGTTCAGTTGATGTAAAAATATACAAAAAACAAGATATTACATATAAAATGGCCTCGGAATGATCACTTACAGGGGAGTAAAGTTAATTTATTGGCCTGTCAAAATGAACTTTTCCAACACTCGGATTGGAATTTCTCTGCCAGTTTAGCCTTAAAACCAAAGACAGTCAAATTGCTCTGGGCTATTCAATGACCATACTAGATTTATTGGTGCTATAAATTTCAAGACAAAATAAAGAGTAATGGAGAAATTATACTTAAATTTATATCTAAGAGAAAATGTGTGAAGGGTTTAGAATATGGAAAGGGGATTGTGGGGCTACAATTGATGTACAGTCTTGGTCAAAAGTGTTGAACACTTGACAGTATTTGGCATGTAAGTACCTGAAGATCTTGGGTATTAAGTAGAGTTTAATCCTATTTTGTGGTTCAGGCATAATATGATTAGTGTTATTAGTATGTCCCAATCATATAACTCGGAAGTAGATGACAGATATTGCTAAGTGTTCAACACCTTTGACCCCGACTGTACCTATGATCCTTGATTGATGACAGGAATGTCATAACAATTGATCAAAGTTAAAAGCCCCAAAACTGGACATTGGCAGTAACTTATAACTTCTCGACCAATCGTTTAATACCTCAAATTTATAACCCCAGTAAAAAAATTATTGGTCTTGTTAATGCTTGACTTTAATTCAGTAATGTACATAAAGTTACCTACAAGATGTGTACTCTAAGTAGTTTATAAATTTGGTCCTCAAGTGTTAAGGAATTTTGTCTAAAACACTAAAGTACATTTTGTCATTAATATAATTAAAACATTTTTATGGTTAAAAAAATTGAATATTAATTTTACATTTTATTTTGTACAGAAATGTTCTGAACACTGGAGTGCTGTGCTGCCCTAGGCTGTGCTTACTGGCCACTGCCCTGTACTTGCTGCTGCCCTAGACTTCCCTGTACTTGCTTGCTACTGCCCTGGACGGCTCTGCTCTGTGTGTGCTGGCTGCTGTCCTAGACATGACTGCTCTGCTCTGTGTGCTGCTGCCCTGGACGGCTCTGCTCTGTGCTTGCTGCTGCCCTGGATGGCTCTGCTCTGTGCATGCTGGCTGCTGCCCTGGATGGCTCTGCTATGTTCTGTGTGTGCTGCCCTGGATGGCTCTGCTCTGTGCTTGCTGCCCTGGACTACAAATTTATAGAGCCATTAAGTTTCCATTAATAAATGTCTGAATGTCATTAAGTCTTTATTAACCTTTTCCAGCATTAGTATACAGTATATACAAATAATATACAGATGAAAATATATATAAACTTCAAAAATAAATAAATATATAAAAATAATATACATATATATATATACTCTATATATATATATACAGTATATAAATAAAATATATATAAATAAATATATAAATAATATATATAAAATATATAAATAATATATAATATATATATAAATAATATATATATATATAAACAAATAAAACAAAATATATATAAAAATAAAATAAATATATAAATTAACTAAAATTAAAGAAAATAACAAAAAACCTGAAAAAACTAGCTAAAAATATGGAAAAAATGGCTAAAAATACAAAAAAAAATTTTGAGGCAAAAATGGCTAAAAATAGCAAATTTTGAGCGAAAAATGGCAAAAAAATTGCCCTTTTTTTACCCTTAAGTGTTTTTTGAGTTTGCCATTGCCAGGACTAACGTTGAAAAAATTTGGTAAAGGATAATCGGAAGAGTCTCCGGAGAAAAACTTTCAAATTATCATTCACCAATAATATTAAAAAAATACAAGCATAACGGACTACCTGGACGTGGGAAGAGTAACTCAGTAGGGGCCCAGTGAGTTGCTCTCCCCAGACCAGGTAGTCCGTTATGCCTTATAATACACAGATGCCAAGCTGGAGCTCTTAAGAATGCCACAAATGTTTTACCTCTAAAACCACACAAAAATTTATTACTCAAAATTTGCCCAGGAATAATTTAGGCCATTTTTGGACAAAGAATATTTTAAAAGATATATTTTTGGACTTAGAATATTTTTAACAATGAATTTTTGGACTTAGAATAATTTTTGGACATAGAAAATTTTAAACAATGAATTTTTGGACTTAGAATATTTTTAACGATGAATTTTTGGACTTAGAATAATTTTTGGACATAGAATATTTTAAACAATGACTTTTTGGACATAGAATATTTTAAACGAAGACTTTTTGGACAGAGAATATTTTAAACGATGACTTTTTGGACATAGACTATTTTAAACGATGAATTTTTGGACATAGACTATTTTAAACGATGAATAAATTTTGGACTTGCAATATTTTAAACGATGAATTTTTAGACTTAAAATATTTTTAACAATGAATTTTTGGACTTAGAATAATTTAAACGATGAATTTTTGGACTTATAAATTAGTTTAGCACATCTAGACCTTAATTGATGAATACAAAAATATTTGGCATAATCAGATTTAATACATCAAAATAATTCTGACATTTCGTTGCTACTATAATATGCAGTCTACTGGGGTATTTACACTGTACCCTCGTTAAATAGGATCGCTGTAATTCGTATTTCGGTTTAGTTCGTACGTTTCTCAAAAAATTAATTAAACGATTTGAATTTGGAATGAATCTGAAATAACTGAGTGGTTCAAAAAGTTGCCTTGGCTGTCATATACAATATTATATTTATAATTATTGTGCAAATATAAATAGTTTTAAAATGTATATACAATAATAAAGTAAATAATACAGTAATAAATAATGCAAGGTGAGATCGTGAATGATATTCCATAAGTGTAACTGCCACACTGGTAAATGAAGTAAAAAAAACCTCATTGGAGATATAAAAGATGAAATTTTGGAGCTGGTTTGACTATAGTGCATTTTTTATCAGCTGAGAAGAGATGCCCCGCCCCCTCCTCAAGAGTTACAGCTGATTGGCTGTTTCAAATCTGTTCGATTTCGTTCTGAAGTAATGATGTACAGTATTTCTAAATGAGTTTATTCATGATGACCGTTTCTGACGAGAAAGATATTTAGCTAAATTATATAAAGATACATACATTAATTATTTCAAACTTAAACACGTAGAAAGTTTATCAGAAATATTATATAAGAATTAACTGTTAAACTCTGGTGGCAAATTGACGCTTTCGGAGGACACATTTAATATATACTTATTTTTACCCACAATAAGACACAAATTACGTATGTCTTCTCAGATGGGAAAAAACACACTATAGGTCCCTCTTCTGCCAACTAACACAACAAAACAAGGGAGAAACACATGGAACAAAGGAACAGTCTCCTGAGTTAGGTTGGTTGGGGATTAATCTTCTTGACAGCAATGGACCCCAGACCTGATCCTCAATACTATTACACTTTATAGATATCATCAAAATATTATCAGTTCACCTCACAGTTAGTCTTACATTTATTTATTACCGTATTATTAACTTTATTATTACTGTTTGTACTGTACACTTAAAAAATATTTGTTTGTACAGTAATTATAAATAGAGTATTTTATGTGGTAGTCAAGGCTTGGTAACTGAGTATGTTTGTTGGTTGATATAATGAGGAACAATCTGAACAAATTGAACAGAAAACAAATGAATAATGAACACAAAATGAGAAATTGTCAAATAATGTCAAAATATTCGGAACTCGGTTAGTTTATATTTTCAGTAATTTGGTGGACCACAAACTACACTATACCCTCATTCAGTTGACAAAAAGAGACTCTGGGTCACCCGAATTATTGAGAATACAAATTAACCGAGTTCTGAATATTTTGACATTATTTGACAATTTCTCAATTTTTTGTGCTCAATTATTCATTTGTTTTCTGTTAAGTTTGCTCATATTGTTCCAAGCAACAAACATACTCAGTTACTATAGCAGCACCAACATTTCTTTACAACCTGTCCTCATGTCATTCATTGCCTACCTCTAACTCCTGTATCTCTTGACCCAGTTAGTTTCCTCCTTTCTCTCCTGAACCATATCAGTTTAGCCTCCAGGTACTGTACTTCTCTCTGTTTCCAACCATCTTCTACGTCTCACACAATCTTCTTTTCTCTTTTTATCTCTCTCTCTCCACTTCATCATTCCTGCCATCAACCACACTCAACGGAACATCTTTCATTTTGGCCCAGCGTCTTGGTACACTGTCCCTCACTGGCGGTTTCCTAGCTTCTCAACTCACAAGAAAATGCTTCCTTTACATTCAGTTCCTTCATAATTCCCACACTCTCCTTCTTGGAACATCCACCTTCTTCCTCTCCCTCCATCTTTAAGTAACACACACACAAGCAACCTGTTCTCATTTCCTGACCAAAATGTAGCCAATCTGGGTTTCTGTGCCACCTGCCTTAGGCCTACATCGTCAGCCTACTTGCCCTATTCTTAAACACATGTTACATACCATCCCCAAACTCAAGTGTTCTTTCACCTTCAGTATTCCTTATTCCAAAGCCTTTCCCACCACGCACACCTTCCTTACCCAGCGCGACAAATTTGGACAATAAAAATAGTTTGTTTTAATGGAGATCACTACATTATAAACTGTTTATCTCCTAAAACAACATTAACTGGCATGATTATAACAGAATAATTGCCGCTTAAGTCACACAACAGATTTTACGGCAACATTAAATGACGCTGAACTAATGAGATAGAATTCTTTAACGAACAATAAAATATATTTACGGTTTAGTTTAACCTAAATGGTATATATATGTGAAGTACCTGAACGGTTCATCAGTTTCACTAAATCATATTAATTCTAAAGTCCTTAAAAACACAGAAGAATATAATTATGTTCTTTAATTTCAAATCATATTGTGATGGCATTCTAAGTTCAGGTAAATTTAAAAGATAAATTTAGCCAAATTATACCTCGATAAACAGTGAGAAATAAAGGTGTTCTGGTTTATAATTAAAATAAGACAAATTGTCAATCTTCCAGAGCCACAGCTAAACACCTCATTTTAATATTGACCTCCACCTCACACTGGCTCACACTACAACAGAGTAACACCTGTGATGAAACAACATTATCAGGGAAAAGATCAAAATATTTACATACACTAGACCACTTTAGATAGATAGATATACATTTATTATGTAAACTTATTATATAAATTTACAATTGGTTCAACCTGCATATAGACAATGTAGGTATACAGTTCAGCATGTATATAGCCAATATGGGTATACAGTTCAGTATATTGTATTAGCCTCTGTCACATTAATATTATATAAATATGAGCTAAGGACATATATTCATTAAATACATTCAATCACCCAGACTATTGAGTATACAGCTACATAAAGATTTGTTCTGTCACACCTCCTAAGGTGTACAGCCCATAAACATTTGTTCTGTAACACTTCTGGGTGTACAGCCCATAAACATGTGTTCTGCCACACCTCCTAGGGTGTACAGCCCATAAACATTTGTTCTGCCACACCTCCTAGGGTGTACAGCCCATAAACATTTGTTCTGTCACACCTTCTAGGGTGTACAGCCCATAAACATGTGTTCTGTCACACCTCCTCGGATGTGTACAGCCCATAAACATTTGTTCTGTCACACCTTCTAGGGTGTACAGCCCATAAACATTTGTTCTGTCACACCTCCTACGGTGTACAGCCCATAAACATTTGTTCTGTCACACCTTCTAGGGTGTACAGCCCATAAACATTTGTTCTGCCACACCTCCTAGGGTGTACAGCCCATAAACATTTGTTCTGTCACACCTCCTAGGGTGTACAGCCCATAAACATTTGTTCTGTCACACCTTCTAGGGTGTACAGCCCATAAACATTTGTTCTGTCACACCTCCTAGGGTGTACAGCCCATTAAACTACAGATTCAACCCTCAGTATGTGGTAGGCTGTTTAGTTAATGACCTGTTGAAGTGTGGTTACCCTCCAACCACCAGTCACCAGACTCAAGAGAGTTCAGCCCAGTTCACAGCCCGACACGATGCCCTAAAGTCGTGTCATGAAACCAGCTCTCCAGGCTGTACCTCTCTCTAAATATATCAGCTAATTACAAGCCAATAGCTAATGCTCATTAGTCTGTCAATACCAAATAATTGTACAGACATTACGGCCCAATATAACTATTAAATCAACACGTGTGTTTTCATTAAACCAAGGAACAACGAGTGAAGAGAACATCACCTGTGTGTCTTGTTTAACTTACAAGCTAAGATAATTACAAGTACAACCCAGGACAGATGTGACGATTAAACTATCAACCAATCTACGACTGTATCAAAGGTGAGATGACCCGATATCTCACTCAGCTGTATTAAAGGTACCAGCGACTAACCTACACTCGTTCAGGCAAGTGTTAACAAGCGAGATAGTTTGGTATCTTACCACAGCTAAAACAATATAGACAATGCAGGTATACAGTTCACCATGTATATAGACAACACAGGTATACAGTTCACCATGTATATAGACAACACAGGTATACAGTTCACCATGTATATAGACAACACAGGTATACAGTTCACCATGTATATAGACAACACAGGTATACAGTTCACCATGTATATAGACAACACAGGTATACAGTTCACTATGTATATAGACAACACAGGTATACAGTTCACCATGTATATAGACAACACAGGTATACAGTTCACCATGTATATAGACAACACAGGTATACAGTTCACCATGTATATAGACAACACAGGTATACAGTTCACCATGTATATACACAACACAGGTATACAGTTCAGTATATATTGTGGAAAATGTATAATTCCATGTAATAATTGTGAATTGTAAATAAAACCTGGTAACAACTTGCCCCGTGGAGCCTTGAAGCAACTATCCTCATTTACTCAGTGAGCATTATAGAGGAACAGTCCTTAGTGTTCCTGACCTGCATCTGATAATGGCTGAACCACATCATCAAGGTCAAAAGTAAGTAAAAAAAAATGGCTTTGCTATAAACCATCAAGTGCCGTTGAGGACGTCTGTGTTGTGACCTTCTGAATAATGCCAAGTTAAACCTTTTAAGGAAGGTCTTCACTCCCTGCAGTAGTTTGTAACAGGTGGGTCAGACCTGCACAGTACAAGACTCACACCACCGACTTAACACCAAAATATTTATCATTGTCACCTCAGAGATCCACTACATCTTCACACAATAATAATTCTTGCCTTTTCCACAATAAAGGCCAGAGGGAAGATGGAGTGGCAAGAGAAGGCCGCCTTATAGTTGTGTGAGATCAAGACTCATTTATCAGTGGCATTAATGTTAAAGCTCACTATGGCCGAGTCAACATTAAATTAGGATTCACCTTTGTATAATTTAACGTAGCAACGTCGTAATTACCAGTAATGAGCCATTTGGGGAGTTGGTCTGTTAAAACTGTACAGTATGGGAGGAAACTGTAGTATTGTACCTGCAGAAAACCTGCCATGTTTGGTAGTGAGGGTAACATCTGTCCCAGGCTGGGGAATGAACCCAGGACACAGAGATGCACCACTATAGATATACAGTACAGACCAACTCCTGATGTATCTGAGAGACAATCACCAGTGTTTTGGGATAAAAACAATTAACAATATTTTCTTGGTTCTATATCACTAAAGTGGTCTAGTTGGTGAATATATTGGACATTTTCCTGCAAATATTTGTATTCCAGGTATTAATCAAATGCATTGTCAACTGTCTATCATGGTTAGTACAGTAGTTCTGTCTACAGTACATATAAGACAGATATACTGTAGACAGATGGACAGAAAGATGTAGAGAGATATACTATATTTCCCACCATATAAGACATATTTTTAACCTAACAAATGTCTCCATAATTCACCCTACATCATATATAACTGTATACATATACACCAGGCCAAGCTGTGTTATTGTTAATTTTCAACTCGTAGTTTTGGGTAGATATACGTAGTTTTATTCACTTTTTTAACAGTTACATGCATACACAAGCTTTCCCAGACTTAGTCAAAAAATTATTATCAAAAGGTAAAAAAACACACAATAAACTTTTATTACGTCGGCAGGAGTCAGCCCGCGAGGGGGGAGCACACCCCTGTCTCACACATCTTTATTGAAACAGTTGTCAAATGGCATGCAGTATTTTTTCTTTCCTCTTATTTATTATTATTATTTTTATTCATTCCTCACATTGGCGAGGGTCAACTGTACTGTACAGGTTATGGAACACATTGCAATTTTTCTCATTTAAATATTTGTTCCTTTTATGTAAGTTTAGTTTAGGTGAACTTTCTTGAGACTATAAACCTTACATGCTATATCTGTGGTTGCCTTTAATATGGTGAGAAATACAGTACAGTAGTATAGATAGATAGAGAGATAGATAGATAGATAGACAGATAGATAGATAGATAGATAGATAGAGATAGAAAGATAGATAGATAGAGATAGATAGATAGATAGCCTGAAAGTTAGACAGAAAGATAAAACAAAATCATCACCATCCAAATCATACAGCCATTTTCCACACCATCTCTTGCAGTCTGTCGTGTCAGGTTCTAAGATCATTTCCTACAATCTCTCTCCATGTCATTCTTGGCCACCTACCACTGGCTCTCCTCCTCACCACATTTAGACTCATACACCACTTAACCCAGCTGATCTCATCCATTCTCCCCACACTCCCGATCTCGGTCCACTTATACGTAAATCTTGGCCGAAACTCTCAATACCCAGCCGTCCTCTTAGCTCTGAACGGTGATTCTTATCTTTCAGTGTCACAGTACACATCCACCTCACCATTCTCATTTCAGCTCACTCAAGACTTCATATGTCATCCTTTTTAACTGCCCATGTTTCACGAATATATAACACCACACTTCTCACACCAGTTGTATACATTCTTCCTTTCATGTGATGGGAAAGTCCTTGTGCTGACAATAAAGACAAGAGTTCCCTAACCTTCCTCCAGCCATTTATGACTCTTGAAAATGAACAGCACCCCATCCAGCACTGATCATATCACCCAGGCAGCAGAACTCCTCCATGACTCACAACACAGCAGCCTTCAGCACCCCCTCCAGCACTGATCATGTCACCCAGGCAGAATTCATCCATGACTCACAACACAACAGCCTTCAGCACCCCCTCCAGCACTGATCATGTCACCCAGGCTGCAGAACTCATCCATGACTCAGAACACAGCAGCCTTCAGCACCCTCTCCAGCACTGATCATGTCATCCAGGCTGCAAACTCATCCATGACTCAGAACGCAGCAGCCTTCAGCACCCCCACCAGCACTGATCATGTCACCCAGGCAGCAGAACTCATCCACACAGTCCAGGGATAATCTTCAGTGATGAATTTCTTCAGTCTTGCCATGGACACATATTTACCTGCACATACATATCACTTACAGTCAGCAACATCTTGCAGTCTTCCATCCATTCCATTGCACTTCTTGTGAACCCACCTTCCTCACTCACTGCCAATATCTTTCTTACTGATAGCATAGATATAGATGAGACAGAAACTTGTATAGATAAAGACAGTCTGACAGATGATATAGACACCAAACAGACAGACTGACTGACATGCAGGTATTGAAAGACTGATAGAAAGATATAGAGATACAGATACATAAAGATAGAAAGTTAGACATACCTAGAAAAATTGAGATATTGACATACCTGTAACAGCAGTGTCTCCATGATCCAGTTGTTAATTTGTCAAGGTTTAGACGTTAACTCATCTGTAACAAACAAACAAAAAAACATTTAATATACAAAGCAGTTTATAATAAAAATAAATCCATGAATTAATAGTCATCCAGTACTGCAATTGTTTGTTTTGTGCAAGTTTGGTTTACGTGAATTTTCTTGGGACTGTAAAACTTGCATGCTTAACAAACTCTTGTAATTTTTGCCTTAATATTCCCAGCTAAATTAGTGGAACATTAATACAGTAGTTTAGATACATAGACAGGTAGATATAGATAGATTGGGTGATAGACAGACATAGAATGAGATGAAAATATAAAAATAGATACTGATATATATATATATATATATATATATATATATATATATATATATATATATATATATATATATATATATATATATATATATATATATATATATATATATATATATATATATATATATATATATATATATATATATATATATATATATATATATATATATATATATATATATATATATATATATATATATATATATATATATATATACTGCAAGTTAGATAGATGGATAGATAGATAAACTGTACTGTATATAGATTGACAGACACAAATACTTGGGTAAATTTACATTTTCAACCAACATGGCTCTCGAGTTGAGCAATGTGTTTTTCCGATGGTTAAGACCAGCGGTTCCCAAATATGGGGTCGCAAGATGCATCATAAGGGGTCACATAGAGGTTATGGGGCTGATGAGGTCACCCGGGTCTTGCAGCGGCCACATGTGAATTTTCTTTTCAATCCAGGTGTCAAGGACTGAAGGACAAGGCCGACAGTTGCTGCGTCGTTAAGTCGGGTCCATAAATTATGACTAAGGGATTAACGCAGGTACTCGACTTGCCCTGTGGCACGTTTCACAACACAAGTTCCACACTCCTACATACTGTATACCTTTTAACTGTTCTCAGCTCAGTTCACTCTACTTCCCACGGAGGAGCACAAAAATGGCAGCAAATTTCAATGAGTTGCTTACCGAGTCTTTTGAACTCGAAATGTCAGAATTACAGGCTGACAATGAGGCAAGGGTGAATTTTGACGTCTATGGTGACATAGCAAAGTTTGGGATTACTTTATCAGATATTCAGCTGTTAAAAGTCTAGCTATCAACGTTCTGGAACAGAAAACGATTACTGTAACCATATATAATACAGTACCTGTACTTGTATTGATAAATGGATTGACAGATACACGATACAGTAGAAAAAAAAAGACTGAGATAGGTATTGATAGATATAATGACAGGCACATAAACACAGACAGAGACACAAACACACATAAACAATAAGGTAGATAGAAAGATATAAATGGAAGACAGACAGACAGACAAATGACTCCTTTAGTTTACCTTGTCTTATGTGCTGGTGTGGTGGTGGTGCTGTGGTGGTGGTGGTGTTAAAGTGTTCTACAATGTCAGCTCTTTGTCTCAGCCTGCAGTTATCATTTTCAGTTGTGATGAAGCTGCTCAATTTTGCAAGGTTAACTCATCTGTAACAAACAAACAAAAAAACATTTAGCATACACAATAGTTTATGATAAAAATATGTCCATAAATTAATAGTCATCCAGTACAGAAGTTGTTTGTTTTATGCATTTGGTTTATGTCAACTTTCTTAGGACTGTAAACCTTGCATGCTTGACATAATCTGTCATTTTTGCCTTGATATTCCCAGCTAAATTAGTGGTACATTTAATACAGTAGTTTAGACAGATAGACAGGTAGAAATACAGTAGAATCCTAGTTATCCGGCACCTACAGAGATTGAGAGGTGCCAGATTAACAGGTTTTCCCGTTAATTCAAACTCGCTCTTGGGATCCCCAATAAATCCTAAAATGCACAGTGCTACAGTCTGACCTCACAAATTCGTGTCTCAGAAAAAAAACACTTCAGGATCTGGGTTCACAGTTTAAAAATTTAAGTAATTAGTGTTAATTAATGACCTTGAAATAATTAAAGATATTTAGAGTATTTAAAAAGTCAATTATGCTATGAATCCAAGTTTTAAATCACCTTTATATACATTCTCTAAATAATAAATAAATACTGACAGATATTGGTAAGCCATATGGATAGACATACAGTACATAGATTGACAGACTGACAAATACTTGTACTGTATTGATAAATAGATTGACAAATATAGATAAAACTGATTGAGATGGGTATTGGCAGATAATGGACAGATAAATTGATAGATATACTGAAAGGCACAGAAAGACAGACACACAAACATACATAAGCAGTTAGATCAGTGGTTCCCAACCTCTTCCGCTCTGTGACCCCCAGACAAGATATGATAACTTCCGGTGCCCCAGTCTAAATCTTTCTTCGATGATACAAACTAAAAGTCACTGGAATGAGCAGTTGGATACGAAATTTTAATATTTTATTATTATTAGTGGTATATACGGTACCAGTAGCTACAGGGACAATATTAAATAGAACTACAACACAATAAAAGATTCCAAGTCATGGATCATTTATGTGAACAATATAAACCACTGTTGTGTCTGCAGTAAATGCTGTGTACAGTATTATAATCTCACATAAATAAACTCAACTCCACAACAACTCGGGTACTCAAAACTATGGACGCTGTCCATGTGTGCATAATTTACACACAGACAAAAAGAACATTAAAAAAGTTAATTAAAACTCAGTGGGTTGGCTGACATTGGTTTTTGTCACCAATTGTGGCATCAGTGGTTTAGTCACAGCCAAGGCACAGTCGAGGCCATCTTCCACGTGGAGTCGATATATGAGTTTTTATTTGATGCTCAACAGCGTGAAAATATCCGCTTCACAGAGACAGGTAGACGAGAATGGCAAAGCACCAGGATAACCAGTTTGCTGATAATAAGGTAGCGGACCATTGCCACCCAGAACTCTGTCAAGCATCATTAGCTCAGATGGTTTAAACCAGGGGTCAGCATCCTTTATACACTAATTAGCCACATTGTAAATAAGAAATAAGCCAACAACCAGTGTACTTATGGAATGTGTATTAAATAAAACTTGAAATTGAGCATTAAGAAATATAGAATTAAACTTTCTACTGCACCGGTACTGTATTCAGACAAGTACTGTAATGGCATACGGAAATTTTGTTTGAGTATCCTAATGGGTGGTAATAAATACTAATACAACAAAATTATGATTCACATAGAACAATACAGAGGAAATAGTTACTATGACGTGCATTCAATTCAATTGAATAGAATATCCTCTGCAATTTTTGTGAAATCTGGTTCAAATTTAGTAAAAGCTACTACAGTACCACAATTGCCTTTCTTATGACTGTCAGTGAGCTTTAAGAGGTACAGTACAGTACTAAGTCTTTACACAAGTCAACACCTTAGCGTTACCTGATTCACATTTATTTTCTCCAAAGTCTAACAATGACTCTTGCAGTTTTGTGAATATGTTTCAGGATATTAATCTGCAGATCCAAGATCTACAGCTGTGCATCACCAAGAGCACAGTACTACCACGTTGGAAACACCACTTCTTGTCTGAATATTGAAGTTAAGCAATGTTAATACTGTACCTAGAGAGGAGACTGCCTGGCCCTAAGAACACCACATGCTCTTGGCATAAAGAATCTACTGGAAATAAGTATCTCATGGCTTTGTCAGCTGTCCTTGGTCAAATTGTCTGCATATTATCTTTAACCTCATCAATATATGGCTGACAATGATTGCCCATGTCTGCTGCTAAACAAAAGGATTTAAAGCAGATTTTCAACAGTAATTGTTATACGTACTTTATGGACTAGCATTGTCAGGTATAATTTACCAGTTTAACAAAGAGTATCAGATTAGGTGTTTCCTGCATCAAGTGTTCCAACATCCTTATCTTACCTTATCAACTTAGCCGGCCACTCATCACATATTTTAGATGTTATAATGCCAGCCACAAATATGAAGGTAGTAGACCCTTGGTTTAAACTCTGGCACTCTGCTAGGAGGGTCAAGCCATGATTAGCTTTATTATGAACACGTGGTTCAAATTACTCCCACGGACAACAGGCTGGGAGCCACTGACTGTTATATAGATAGAAATATATAAAAAAGGAAGACCGACAGACAGACAAATGACTAACAGCAGCACATTTACAACAACTTGTCTTAGGAGTTTGACGGGCACAAAGACTTCCTGTATAGGCTATAAGAGCTGTTCCTATAGTTTACCTTGCCATAGGTGGTGGTGCTGTGGTGGTGGCAGTGATGATAGTGCCATGGTGATGGTAGTGTTGGTGATAGTGCTGGTGGCAGCTCTCGTTCCATGCTCCAGTTATCATTTTCATCTGTTATGGAGCAGTTCAATTTCCCAAAGTTGTTTTGTTGTAACATCTGTAACAAACAAAAATTATATTTACAATAAAAACGTTGGGGAGGTGAGGTTAGATTAGGTTAGAGCCAGACATAAAATGGTTTATATTGACGACTGACCTGCGGACAAGTTATTTATTTGATTGTTTATTTTCTTTCTTTATTTTAAAAAAATAGTGAGTTCTGATATGATAATCATTTTTTGTGCAAATGCTTTGTTTTGTACATAATTAGGCACCTAAGGTGCACTATTGTGTCTTTCCGGCAGTAGTGCGGCCGTGTTCTTTCCAGCGCCAGTTTCATTTTCAGCGTGACGTGGTGTGTGAAGTTTGTTGCCAATCTTGTGCTACAGTTCTGGTGCTTATAAAGGAACTTGGCTTGAAACTGCCAAGATTAAACCCAGTATTGTACTTTTACTTATAAACATCTTTCAAACAAAGTATTTTTCACAGCAATACTGTGAAGTTGAACTGGGTTTGTGTGCAAAGTCTGTTTTATATGACGTACAGTATTTCAAAACATATATAAAATATACCAGTATATACATGTATAAAATATACTGTATCAGTATACACATATATAAAATATACCAGTACAGGGCAGTACAGCATTCCAGCACTTACTACAAAGTTGCTAGGCTTGTTCCACTCATCTACCACCATATTTGTGAACCAGTTTCTTCCTATCTCCCTCCTAAACCTAAACTTATCCAACTTAAATCCATTGCTACGAGTCCTACCCTGCTCGGATATTATAAGAACTATATCTATATCTCCTTTATTGATTCCTTTCACCAGCTTAAATACTTCTATCATATCTCCCCGCACTCTTCGTCTTTCAAGGCGACACTTGTGACTGAGCAAATGTTATATTGAAAAATTAATATCTCGGTTATCCTTAATTTTCATCTATTACATTACCAGCGGAAATGTATAATAACGGAGAAAGCGTGTCCAAAATTTTCTCTATTTTCTTCCATATATCTTGCGCCATTATCGCCTTCTTCACCTCCCACACTGTGTGTCTCCTTCATTAATCATCATGCGCATGCGTTCCCATACACGTCACGCGGCCAATCAAAAGCGTTGTTTTTTTTTGCAACCAATTAAAATGATTTTGGGTTTAATTCGCGGTATTTTTGGTCCAATCAAATTTGAGTTTTATTTTGGGTCTCTCATACATGTATTTAGAAATTCAAATTCATTTCCGACCATGGAAGTCTGCGATGGGTGTCACTTCAATTATATGGAGCTGATTGTGAGTTTTTTGGGGAAAAAAAGAAGAAACTATAGCATTTTTTCGATTTCATGGTCATGGTGTTCTTCCAACCTCAGTGCAAGACTGAATGTAAATATCGCAAAGACCAACATATGAGGCGTTCTGTAAGAATCTCAGAATCCAACACGAACAAGAACCAGGCCAATAAGGTAAAAAATAGGTGAGTCCATCATATGGTGAGAGTCAGTTTGGTTAGGTTAGGTTAGGTTTGGTTTTTGTTTTTCTAGTGTTTTTTTGGTGTATTTTTTATTCGCTTAGCCATTATTTTTTTCGGAAAACGTCCAACAAAAAAAATTCGATAAAAAAACCCGGCTAATTTCCGCCAGAAATGAGACATATTCGGTCTAAACACACACAAATACACGAGAAAAAAATATTTTTTACTTTCTAACAGAGTGTGGTGTGCAAGTGCAAATTTACCCACAATATACCAGTACATACATATATAAAATATATCAGTATATATAATACGGTAAACAAAAGTGTGATGTGATCAGCTTTATGCTGCTACACTTTACTTACTGTACTGTGTCGTTACTTACTTAACAAGGACATACATATATACATACATATATAATATTAACTTACCACGAGGGAGGGAGGAAGGCCCACAAATTAATATTTGCTGACAAAGTTAACAAAACACACAAGTCGACCAAACTTGTTGTTGTCGACCTGCTACACCTTGTCCGATTCTCTCTCTTATCTTTCAGTAATTACAAGTTTTAATTAATATTACGATAATAAAGTATTTTAGTAATATATTAAATAACATAAATAAATTATACTCTAATTATAATGTTTAATAATTGACTAAAATCCGTCTAATGGTAAATTATTAATGATAAACTAAACTTAAGTCACTGGTCGGAGAACCGATCAATTTGAAAACATTCACAAATTCACTATGTTTTCTTTCTTACCTTTAACTTTATTTATTAATATACAACACTATATATAAGCTTTTAACATCTTAATAAATCCGCTATTTTAACTTTTCATAATAATATTATTTAAGGCAACTGTTCGTCTCAAACTACATAATTATTGAAAAATAATTACTCATGATATATGAAGTTAATAATGATCAAATACTAGTTATTTTATTATTAATTATTTCCTTCTTGAATGCTGCATATGTCTCTCTCCCTATTACGTCCCGGGTTCATGTCTTGTTGGCCCGAGACACATGAGAAGGGTGTTTGAGTACCTTTTGCTATAATGTTCTGTTATGTTCTATAATATTGGGGTTGTGATAGAAATAAAATATTCAGCAATAGTTTCAATACTTATACAGTATCTAAAACAGATAAGCTAGGCCTCACCATTTCCTCTAATATGTCCTGGAAGCCACACATCCTCAACATTGCTGAAGCTGCCTCTCGAAAGCTGGGAATGCTGTACAGATACCGTAGCTACTTCATTCCTGAGCAGTTGCTTCAAGTATATAAGGGATTCATTCGTCCTAACTTGGAGTGACAGTACTCCAGACAGGGTGAAAATACTCCAGACGGGGTGGCAGTAATCCAGGCAGGGAAGTACCTCACCTTTTCTACGGCACTGTTTCATACCTAAGGCTGGGCGTCAAAGGTTAAATCCTTAATTGTCTTAAACTGTTTACTCAGTTACCACCAGTGCGTAACAGAGAGTCAGCACATGCCCACAGTGCCAACAGTACGTAACAAATAACCAGGAATGGTCGAAGAAATGGCTGCTGAGATTCAATGTCACGAAGTCACGGTAAGGAGGCGTATCATATGTCCCAACGGGATGAAGAAACTGCACTAGTTGAGACTGTGTGTGAGAAGGACCTAGGTGTGTATGTTGACAATGAGCTGAAGTTCTCGGGCCATTGTGAGAAGAAGGTAAATCAGGCAAATAAATTATTGGGTCTTATAAGAAGGTCGTTCAGATATCTAGACGGTCCGTCCCTCGTAACGATCTTCAGTAGTGAAGTGCTTCCCCATCTGGAGTACTGTCACCCCATCTGGTCCCCGAGATATGCTAGGGACTGTCAGTTGGTTGAAAATGTTCAAAGGAGGGCCACCAGACTGGTGCCTGCACTTCGGCACCTCAGCTACCCTGAGAGATTGGAGCGCCTGAACTTGCCTAGCTTATACTACAGACGGGCAAGGGGGGACCTAGTTGAGGTGTATAAGCATCCCAGGGGGCACTACTCAGTTGAGTGTCCTTGTAACGGGCCGAGTTTTCTCTTTTCAATAATTTACCATCCAGCTACTGTTTTCTGTAGTATTCTATTTACTCATATACTTATTTGTTCTGTGTAGCATTCCTCCAATGAGTACCCTGTTTAATAGGGAGTGCCAGTGTCCCAGGGAGTGCCAGAGAGTACTAAGGAGTGCCAGTGTCCCAGGGAGTGCCAGAGTGTACTAAGGAATGCCAGTGTCCCAGGGAGTGCCAGAGAGTACTAAGGAGTGCCAGTGTCCCAGGGAGTGCCAGAGTGTACTAAGGAGTGCCAGTGTCCCAGGGAGTGCCAGAGTGCCAGAGTGTACTATGCCAGTGTCCCAGGGAGTGCCAGAGTGTACTTGCCAGTGTCCCAGGGGTGCCAGGTACTAAGTGCCAGTGTCCCAGGGTGCCAGAGTGTACTAAGGAATGCCAGTGTCCCAGGGAGTGCCAAAGTGTGAGTGCCAGTGTCCCAGGGAGTGCCAGAGTGTACTAAGGAGTGCCAGTGTCCCAGGGAGTGCCAGAGTGTACTAAGGAGTGCCAGAGTGTACTAAGGAGTGCCAGTGTCCCAGGGAGCGCCAGTGTCCTAAGGAGTGCCAGTGTCCCAGAGACTGAAAGAGTGCCAGCGTCTCAGCGAGTGCCAGAGAGTCCCAGGGAGTGCCATAGTGTCCCAGGGAATGCCAGAGACTACCCCAGGATGATATAACCTGCCAGAGACTACCCCAGGAGGATATAACCTGCCAGAGACTACCCCAAGATGATATAACCTGCCAGAGACTACTCCAGGATGATATAACCTGCCAGAGACTACTCCAGGATGATATAACCTTCAAGAGACTACTCCAGGATGACATAACCTGCCAGAGACTACCCCAAGATGATATAACCTGCCAGAGACTACCCCAGGCTGATAACTAGAGACTTGATATAACTTGCAGACTACCCCAGACTGATATAACCTACCCCAGGCTGATATAACTTGCCAGAGACTACCCCAGGCTGATATAAGCTGATACAACACCCGAAGACTACCCAGGCTGATACAACTAGAGACTACCCCAGGCTGATATAACTTGCCAGAGACTACCCAGGCTGATACAACTTGCCAGAGATTACCCCAGGCTGATACAACTTCCCAGAGACTACTGAGCTGATATAACGTGCAGAGACTACCCCAGGCTGATATAACTTGCCAGAGAGACTACCCAGGCTGATATAACGTGCCAGAGACTACCCCAGGCTGATATAACTTGCCAGAGATTACCCCAGGATGATATAACTTGCCAGAGACTACCCCAGGCTGATACAACTTGCCAGAGACTACCCCAGGCTGATATAACTTGCCAGAGATTACCCCAGGCTGATACAACTTGCCAGAGACTACCCCAGGCTGATATAACTTGCCAGAGACTACCCCAGGCTGATATAACTTGCCAGAGACTACCCCAGGCTGGCCAGAGACTCAGGCTGATATAACTGCCAGGAGCTACCCCAGCTGGTCCAGACCGAGACTACTGAGCTGATATAACTTGCCAGAGATTTACCGCCCACGGCTGATACAACTTGCAGAGATTACCCCAGGCTGACAACTTCAGAGACTACCCCAGGCTGATACAACTCTGCACAGAGACTACCCAGGACACATAACTTGCCGATGAGACCATCCCAGGCTGATACCGCCACAGAGACCCCAGGCTGATACAACTTGCCAGAGATTACCCCAGGCTTGAGCTAACTTCCCAGAGACTACCCCAGGCTGATATAACGTGCCAGAGACTACCCCAGGCTGGAGAGATACTAACGTCCATGCAGAGACTACCCCAGGCTGATATAACGTGCCAGACTACTGATATAACTTGCCAGAGATTACCCCAGGATGATATAACTTGCCAGAGACTACCCCAGGCTGATACAACTTGCCAGAGACTACCCCAGGCTGATATAATTGCCAGAGATACCCCAGGCTGATACCTTGCCAGAGACTACCCCAGGCTGATATAACTTGCCAGAGATTACCCCAGGCTGATATAACTTGCCAGAGATTGCCCCAGGCTGATACAACTTGCCAGAGACTACCCGAGGCTGATATAACCTTCCAGAGACTACCCCAGGCTGATATAACTTGTCAGAGATTACCCCAGGCTGATACAACTTGCCAGAGATTACCCCAGGCTGATATAACTTGCCAGAGATTACCCCAGGCTGATACAACCTTCCAGAGACTACAGTAAAGGAGAGTGAGATCAAGTCCCTAAGGACAGCAGGTGTCTACCATATTCAGTTCATAAGGTAATGACCAACCCTTTCACCTGACTACAAATCTTGTTAATCACAAAATTGTCCAATTTGTAATTGCCATTACTCAAATCCATGGCGACAGATTCAGTATGTTAAATGAGAATAGATTCTATAATGTTCCTACTGACAATTGAATTACAAGGTAATATTGAGGAGGCATTATCCAAGTCAATGCACTGCTTATTATCTCTCATATGAATGAACAAGTCATTGGATTCCTAGCCTGTCCTAACACCAAATTTATGTTGTTTAAGTCTAGTAGAACTTATTACATTCCTTGCAAGTAACCTTATAAATGCAGCCACCTGCATTAACATTTGTTTTACAGTGCATGAATTACTAAATATTACATTTACGTTCCAGGTTTTCAGTTGCATAGGAATTTGAGAGATTTATTTGTTAAATAATACTAAGAGATTCTTATTGTTATGGGGAGGTTTAGGATCAGTTCTATAAAAAAGATTTCTTAGGATATTTTAAGTTCAAACCAATATTATAGATATACAGTATTTATATTCCTCATCAATGAATTCCGGACTGCATATTGGTAGAGCACGTAAAAAATTGATGAGAATACTGAATGCTTGACTCTATAATGGTAGGCAGAATAACAATGAATATAAGAACACACATTAGTAGGTTTCCTATATATACTGAACTTAAAGGTGTGACCTACTCTGTGGATCAGACAATCTAAGAATGGTAATACAGTATACAGTCACTTTCTAATTACACAGTGAATTTCATCGGACTTGACCTCACTCTCCTTTACTGCATATATCACAGGGAAGTGATTTCTCCAGATTTTTTTCCGGTTTTCCAAGTTTTTCCATCGTTTTAGGTGACCCACGTGAATCGCGTAGAACTGTCGATTTTTTTGTGTTTGGGGGGGGGATGACCCTCTATGGTAAATGGGTCAGTTTACTGTGATGCACGAGGACGATGAGCCTGTACACTGGGTATAGTGGCCACACTCTACATGTTCATGCATTACATCATATATTCTTTTTCTCATTGGCCGAGTATAGCTTGTTTTGCATTCCATTCTTCGATTCATAAGTATTTTATTGACCAAAGATCAATGATGCCATACAATGCCACTATTAGAAGCATTATAATATGCCCCACCACCTCCACCCTACCCACTTGATGCCATATTTCATAGTTGTATAGGCAACACAGTAGGGCGTGTTTGTGTCCCCCAGGAG